GACATATTTATCTCACTCCCCCAACACAAGCAGTTCTCTCTCTCTGTCTCCCATTCTCCCATCCCTCAAATTGCAACTTTTTTTATATTGAAGTTAAGTTAATTGCATGAATAACAAAAGAGACTCCCCATCTCTCTTCTTCTTCTTGTTCTTCTTTGATTTCTCCTTTCTTTCAATTTCTCACTTTATTGCAATCTATATAATTTTACTTCTATACCTCTGCATGTAATTTCATGCCCCTCTCCCCTCTGTCTCTGTCTCTCTCTGTCTCTCTCTCTCTCTCTCTCTCTCTCTCTCTCTCCCTCTCTCTCTCTCTCTCTCTCTGTCTCTGTCTACCCTCCTCCTTCTCCCTCTCTCCTGCTCCCAATCTCCGACTCTCCCTCTTTGAACAATATTCAAACTATTCAATAAAGTGCAAAATGCTTGAATCATGAATGTGTTAATTCAAAACATATTCCTTCCAATTATCTAAAAAGGCGGTGCCGCCTCTGTTTCAGGAATTTGTGTACTTTATTTATTGATAATGTTTAAATACACTTTTTATACAAACCATCGCCTCCTAGCAGGAAATTGCACACACTGGTGAATAATGGCATCTTGGGACACATCACTAACCAGGGCCATTTTTTCACAGAATTTTGAAGAATTGTCAAATTTTACGATATTCCCCTGTAGCTTTTGGATAGAAACGAAGGCCTTGTGTGGTCCTGTCCCATATTTTATTTATCTCTTTTTACATTTCTTGTTTTCCTAATTAGCCGTTCCTATGGGTTGGAGTTACAAATGTGAAGTGCAGTTACTGGGCATCGACCATCTAACTCATGTTGGGGAGCTATAAAACTGTGGAGATGAATTCTAAGAGACCTTTTTTCTTTTTAGGGGTTTTCCCTTTCCATAAATCTCCCCCCCCCCCCTCCCCTCCCTAATTCTCTCCCTGCTCTCCTTTCCTATATGCTGATATCTCATACACTTTCACACTTTCTAACTTTCTCGCTCACTCTGTCTTTATTTTATTTTGAAAATCTTTCCAATTTCTTTTCTTTTTTATGTCCACCATCGTTATCACCCACCCCCTTTCTCTTTCTCTTCCTCTCTTTATATCTGTCTCTGATTTTCACCCTCTGTCTCTCCTCCCTCTTTTGTGGTCCTCTCACACTCTCTTGCTCCTTTACTCAGTCTCTCTCTCTCTCTCTCTCTCCCTCTCCCTCTCTTTCTTTCTCTCTCCCTCTATCCCCCATCCTCCCCTTCTCCCCTTCCTTCCCTTCTTTCCCTCAGTCCAGTTTTGCCCTTTACGTTATTAAATACTGGGCTACCGGTATTCCATATTATTGGGTGTGTACCTGGTTTGGTTAGCATGTACAGTGTATATATTAATATCAGTCCAATCGAATAAGCAGAAAAACATCAATATCGAGGATTCACAATCTTCTTTATTTAACTTTTATTCTAATAAGAGGGATGATTTCCTTCAAGAAGGTCTGTTGTTTCCCAGTTAGAGGGTGAGAGGAAGCAAAATTTGTATGCAAGGGGAATCTAATCTGGTGCCAGAGAATGAGGGTCTCTGTCACATATCAAAATAAACTTTAGTTTCAAGCTTTTTTTCTTTTAATGTTGGGGGGGGGGGGAAGGGAACTTTCATTGGTTTCATTTCAATATATCATATTTGTAGAAAGCAATATTAACATGCAGCCTAACCATGGACAGATTTTTCAAACTTGTTACACTGAAAAATAAACTTTCTCATAGGTGTATATTAGCTGCGTTAACACTGCAAGCAAAAACCATCACTTTTTCTCATATTCTGGTTTTTCGTTAGAAGTTGCTAACCCATAAAGACAATGAAAACCCCACCTCTGGAGTGTTTTTTGTTTTAACACCAGCAGAAACTTCACGGGCGAATGCTCTCTCTCAAAACACCGGTGTATCTTTCCCGTTTTTGGTCACATGACTCTCCTCGCTTCCATGCTAACACATGCAGGGGCAGCAACAAATGGTGCATGCACACAAATCGCCCAAAAAAGAATAATAATAATAATATTTAGCTTTTATATAACGCTTAATACAATGTCTCTAAGTGGGTTTTTTCAGAAGTGTAAATGGCACTGCAAAAAACCAATGGTTTTCAAAATAGTTTTTGGCCGTGTAAATGGGCCTCTTGTAGCTGAACCTGTAGAAGGAAGATAAGATCACAAACGTTTGGAAAGCTAGTTTGATGATGTACAAAGCAAGAAGGCCATTAACTCTGTGTTAACGTTAATGACTTAAAGGTAAAGACCAGTTTTGGAAACGCCCCCTCTCAAATAAAATTGAAGCTCTTATTACCAATCATGTGAAAGAATATGTTTTGACTAGTACGTGATGATACAAATTTTGCCGGGGAACCGCCTACTAATTGATATATTTGGTAAATTATTATATCTATCTGGACCGGATAGAAATCGTGCACGTGTCAGGTAGTCCTATATACATCTTTCTGTGTAAAGTGCTTGTAACTTTACCAAGACTGGGCTAAATTTCTTATCATTTTTATGATTCCAGAACCTCGCAGTACACACCAATACTTATATGCTAGATGATCAACCTTTTCTTATCGATTCCACAACGTTTCTTTCACAACGTTTCTTTCACAATGCAATTGCATGACCAGGACTGGTCTTTACCTTAAACACCTTTCTGTTTCCAAACAGATGATAATTGCTCTCATCATTTGCTTAGTTTACTATTCTTCTTTTTATAGATCATGACCACTAAATGCAGATATATCTGTTTTTATATGGATCTCGAGAATTTATTGTAATGACTACCAAAAGCAGGATATACGGTATATACATGTATATATCTCCTATGTATTTTATTATTCTTCTACTATGTATTTTTTTTTTAATCCAGTTTGGAAATAGGTAGAATTTTGTGGTTTTCTTTTATGCTTTTTTTTTATATCAGACAATTTTTCAGAAATCCGGACTGGTCGAACAATGTAAACAGATTGTCTTTGTTCTCTTCACTAAAAAATACAATTTTAGACTCTATTGGACAATTGACTTTCATCTTTATTGTTTACACAAATATTTATATCCTCTTTTAAAATTGTTGAAAAGGATGTTGTGGTTAGCTCTGAGCAGAATACTCTGAAAGATAGTATTTCCTTTAAAAGGTCAGTCATTGACTCTTTTGACTGTCTTGTTGTTGTGGGGTCCTCTTTTATGTTTTTTTTTTTTTTGAATATCCAAAATGCATATTATTGTCCTGGTGATTAGCCTCAATAGGCCCCTGGTCTTTGCTAGTCCCTCACATGTTTTTGGTAAATTTCTATTTAGTTGTTATTTGTTTATACAAATATATCCTCTTTTCAAAAGTTTGAAAATGATGTTGTGGTCAACTCTGAGCAGAATACTCTGAAAGATAGTATTTCCCTTAAAAGGTCAGTTATTGACTTTTGTGACTGTCATGTTGTTGTGTTTTTTTTTTTTTTTTTTTTTTTTTTTTTTTTCAAATATCCAAAATGCCTATTATTGTACAGGGGATTCGCCTCAATAGGCCTCTGGCCTATTGACCAAACACATTTTTTTTTTAATATCTATTTAGTTGTTCTGTGTTTGTGTAAATCTGTTCACTGTTTTTTCTCTTAATATCTTTGTTTTTTTAATTTTGTGTAACTTTGCATTTCGTATATGTCTTGGCATATATGTATATTTTTTTATATGAACCACATGTGGAAATAAACTAAACTTGAAACTTGAACCTACAAAGTGTCACAAACACCAGCTGTAGATTTGGATCTTTAGTATAAATTTGTAGAATGACATTTCTCTCTCTACAATGGAAATGTTTGGAAAATATAGATTATGGATATATATTCCTTAATCATATTTTTTCAATTAATTTTCCTGAGTGAAGTAGAAGTCTGAGAAGTGTTGTAAGTATACTTTTTTCCAGGAAATTTGCCCATTGAATTGTTTTGAAAAGCCCCCCCCCCCCCCCCACGCAAACACACACACACACACACACACTTTCCTGTTTGAGATGTTATTTAATATGAGAAAAGCTTCTAGAGAAAAACGAATATGAATATATATATATATATATATATATATATATATATATATATATATATATATATATATGTGAGAGTTGCATTATTGTATCAAATTTGTGTACTTCACAGTGTACACTATGAGGGAAATCTGTTAATTTCATTTTGGGGGCTTTTCAAGTGATTATCATCAGATATTTATCATAAATGTCCTACGTGTAGTTGTTGAAGGCTTAGCAATATCTGATGACAAAAATTATGATTATCACATACTAGTGTGCAAATGAATAGTAAAAGCACCATGTACAGCTGTTTGTCAACTAATTAGAGGGCACGTAAGCTTTGTTGAAGACATGTTGGAGAGAAAACCTAAATGAAAAAGCTAAGAAACTGGAAACTCAATTCTTGAGTTGAGTGGCCAGATAAATGCGTAATTTGTGTCCCACCCACATTTTGGGTGGAGTTTCCATTCATGGCAACTTCCTACGCTCCTCTCTCTCTCTGCTCCTCTCTCTCTCTCTCTCTCTGCTCTCTGCTCCTCTCTCTGCTCCTCTCTCTCCTCTCTCTCTCTCTCTCCGCTGCTAAAAAAACCCACTCCGTCGCCCTGCTCGGGGAGCGGTCCGTTCTCGATTGCTGCGATGCGTTCAGTCCTCGTGAACAGAAGGGCGGGACAGAAGGACGAGGCATGAAGGGGATTAAAAGAGGAAGAGACTGTGCGAGGGATGTGAACGGGTTCGGGTAGATACTTAGTGAAACTCAATTTGTACAAGTTCCTTTGGATAATTGTTGCCTTTGTGTGATGTCTTACAGCGTGTGCGTGCGTACGTGCGCTCTTGTTTGTGCGTACATCCACAAGTGTGTGTGTCCGTCCGTCATCGTGATGTAGGCTCACACAGGGCAAGATGTAATACGCAGGAGAAACTCTTTGAATTACTGGATTCTTATTTATTTCCATCTCCGCTTTCAGGTCAGACCGCTCTCGTATGTATGTGAGGATTGAAAGGTTTCTATATTTATAGCGGAGTATTTAAAGGAAATTTCGGAATCAAAATGAGGCAGAGTGGATGGAGGTGATGAGGGGAGACGGGTGAGTTGATTTCTTGTGCAAATTCTTCTTATATCTTTTAATGATTTGTTTTATTGGATTAATTCTTGGTCTTTGTTTTTGTGGATTTTTGGCAAGGGCAGTGAGTTTAATGGCATGAATAATCTTAAGGGATAAAGAGTGTTTTTCTCTTCTTCTTTTTTCTTTTTCGGGGGGGGGGGGGGTGTTTATTTCTACCTTTATTCTTTATACTCTTTCTCTTGTTAATGTTTTATTTGATTCTTCCTTCTCTTCCAATTGTTTTGATCAGATTAATTCTTGGTCTTTGTTCTCTGGATTTTTAGCAAGTGCAGCGAGTTTTAATGGCATGGATAATCTTAAGAGATAAAGAGTTTTCTCTCTTCTTCTCCTTTTTTCGGGGGGGGGGGGGGGTGTTTGTTTATTTGTTCCTAATATTCCTTAAACTCTTTCTCTTTTTATTGTTTTATTGAATTTCGCCTTTCTCTTTTAATTGTTTTGATTAGATTAATTCTTGGTCTTTGTTCAGTGGATTTTCGGCAAGTGCAGTGATTTTGAATGGCATGGATAATCAAGAGTTTTTCTCTTTTTTTTTTGGTGGGGGGGGGGGGGGGGGTTGTTTGTTTGTTTATTACTTAATTCCTTAGACTCTTTCTCTTATTATTGTTTTATTAGACAATCCTCTCAAATATTTTGGCTAGTGCAATGAGTTTGTATGGTCTCAATAACTGTAAAAGACTTTTGTTGTTAGTTCGTTTCTTACTTAATTTCACTCTTTCTTTCTTTCTTTTATTTTTGTTGGGTGAGGGGGTTTTCTGATTTGGGGTTACTTATTGTTCATTTCTTTAGTTGTTTGTTTACATTTACTTTTTATTCTATTTATTTTTGCTTTTCGTTTAATTTCTTACTTTGACACTTTCTATTTTGATTCTATTGGATTATTCCTTTGATATTTGTGTTGTCATCTCTGTGATTTTTTCCAAGATAGATTGTGCTTTAATTGCATGGATCATTCTAGGGATATATCGTCGCTGTTTTCACGAAGTGACGGTAGTGAAAAGAAATTGCATTCACTTTGCGTTACGATTTTCCTCACTACCGTCACTTCGTGAAAACATCGACGATATAGTGCCTTTCTTTTAATTTCTGGATTGATTAACAACATTTATATTAACTAGTGAGTATGCATGACTTGTGGCATGCTGGTACTTCCTATTTTCCATAATTATTCTTTGTTAATTGTTATTCTGTAGCTCTTTTGTTAAGTAATATTTCAGTTTTTTCTCTTCAATGGGCATCATTCTTTACCACGATCCCTAAAGCCCTGAGCAGAGCCAAGCTCTGTAAGCTAGTCTCCGGCCTATTAACTGAGGGCTCTGTATAGTATCCAAGCTCAGACCCTCTGTTATTCATGACGACTGTAGCTCATCATGACTGTAAATGGGTGACTTTGCAAAGCCATAATGTTGCACAAAGCAATCCTTCCCTCAAATGGTGTATATTGTTTTGTGCAAATATGCACTTGTGGCAAACAAGCCACAGTGCAGAGAGGTGAAAGAAGCAACCAAAGTGCTAATAAAGGAACCATACTTCCAGAAGGCAATTGGTTAAACATTCTGGTGCGTAGTTGATCCTATCGGAAATAATGCATGCCCAGTTCAGCAATAAACTAAGAATCCAGGAATTAATTATGCAACATCAAATAAATAGACAATGAAGTGTTAAGAATTGACGTACCAGAACATGAATATTATAGTGTATGCTCTCTTGATTTAAACCACAAATATCAAATTTATTTATTGTTATTTTTTTTAATTACCAAAGGTGGTATTTGTTGTCATGCTAGTTTAGTTATGAGTTATGTTATCTTTTTCACCTTCATATCGGTTTTGAAATCAAATACCATACAACCTCCTCGCAACAAGGTCAAGCCGTGGGTGAGGGCGGGGCTAGTTAATATGACATGCCCACCCCCTGTTGCCATGGAGACAGCTAACTGTATGTGGGAGGGGTTGAATTTCTCCCATTTTGTCGAGCAGTGGGGGTAGACAGAAGTGAAAGGTGGTTTCACGTGACATGATCACAAATCGATATTCTTCATTCTCCTGGAGACTTCTCAGTTGTTTTCTGCTGTTCTTTGTTACAAGACTAGGGCTACATTGTATCAACAGTTCAACACTCAAATGGAATATACTGCTAAAAGTCTGAGGAATTTTGTCAGTTTCTTCAACATCTTGTGTCATAGAAGCAACCAGCAATTATTCATTGTGTAAGTTCTAGTGCAAAATAATTATTGTTTAGTACATTTTACTTTTACTGTTACTGTTTTACTTTTACTCTTTTACAGCTTACATTTTATTACTGTTCTTATTTTACTATTACTGAATAACTATTATGGGTCTTTTGAGTTTCTACCATAGAAAAAAAGGATTTATTCATATCTTTTAGATACTCTTTAGTTTTAAAGCCCTCAAGTTTTCAGCTTTCCAAACCATATCTCCCATCAGCCCCTCTGATTATTTTCCAGAGAAAGGTTCATTAGCAATTTGATTCCCATTTTCATAGAACTTAGACTTTCAAGATATCACTTTGGAGCAATTTTAGTAGCCTCGTGTATCACATATTGTTATTGAAATGTCAAATCCTATCTATATTGCCTTTTACTTTATAAGAACATAATTTCTTCAGACAAAACTGTAAGATATTGAAATGGACATGGAATTCTGCCCTCATTGTCATGATATTGTAAATTACTATGATTATTAATATTATTATTACTATTACTACTACTACTACTACTACTACTACTACCACTACCACTACCACTACTAATACTATACTACTGCTGCTGCTGCTACTACTACTACTACTACTACTACTACTACTACTACTACTTCTACTACTGCTACTACTACTTCTACTACTGCTACTACTACCACTACTACAACAACAACTACTACTACTACTACTAATACTACTAATATTACTACTATTATTTTCATTATTCAACCTAAATCCATAAATGCAAGCATTTTATCTATGGGGAAACTTTTCTGCTTGTTAGAAATCTACTTGGTACCACAATTTCTCTGTGGCTATGTCCGTCATATTGAGAGATATTTGGAAGCTATGAACCGAGCATAACAATGTTGCTCTTACATGTATATTCAAAAGGAAAATTAGCAAAGTCATGGTGATGTAAGATATAGTTTGTTGACTAATCACTGTTTTCTTCTTTACATATCAAATGTGCCAGGTACATCATGGTGCAATTCATAGTATAACCATAATTTTCCCCTCTTTATTTATGGAAATATTGTTAAAGATTAGTCATGAAAATCATCAAAATGTTGCCTTTTAACCAAATTATTGATCATACCTGCATCAATACAATTACTCATTTTGTTCTCTTCTGATTGGTTGAATAAGCTTTAGCATTGTTTAGTCCAGGACCTCGTATCTGACTCAGTTCATACTTTGAACTTTTTGTACCAGTGATTCCCTGGTACAGTGCGGAGCGCCCGATGACACATTTGACACTGTTATGTGCCCACCCCTTTACACTGATTCATGGTTGCCTATTGTCATCTTCATGCATGGCTGCATTCACATGTCTCGTTGTGGCCTAGTCTTGTCCTCCTAGACCCGCCACTAAGTTCATGGCTGTGTTTAACTGACATAGATTTAGTCACCCACAAAAAAGATTCTGTGATTCATACGTGCCACATTTTGCACTTTGAGAGCTTTAGGTGAGCGGTTCAGTGGAGTGGTTGTTTTGTGTTTTGCTTCTCACATGTACATCTTACATATATATATATATATATACCTACTTCTGTTTGTACTATCGTAGTTGAATTTAGCTTCTTCTTCTGCTTTTCTATGTCATGGGGGGGGGGGGGCAGTTCATTAAATGCCTCAAACTTATTGACTGATAGAAATTAACAGGCTACATTATGATGTTACAATTGTTAGTCACTTTTAGCTTGTATTATAATTCATGCTTTGGTTTTTCTCAAAACATACATGTAGTATTGTGTGCATGGCCGAGCCAGAATTGCATCACAAAAAGTGTACTTTCCAATGTTGATATCATCATATTGCATATTTGCATATTTTGATCCAGGATTATTCAGTCTTTAGACGGTTGTTCCTACCCATGGTTTCCTTACGTTGGGGTTGTCATCATATTTATCTCAGTCCACCAGTTCTCAAATTCAGATTTGAAGCGATTGATAGTGGTAACTCTCTACAACATCGCCTGGAAGACCATTCCACACATTGATTATTCTCTGGCTGTTCCCACAGCAGAACAATTAGTTTATTAAACTATGATATATATTCTTTTACATTCATCATTATATATGGTGTAAAGTGCCGTTTACATTGGGAAATCACTGCTATTTTAAGCCTTGACTCGATGGACTTTGAATGTCTGAAAATGGACTTTGGACAATTTTTTGTATTGTGCTAGCCTTAATGTAATTTGCTATTAGTACACAAACAAGCATTTTTAGATCCTTGTTTCTAAGATTTAGAGGAGATTAACCAAAATAGATATGTCAACAAAAATATATATAGCCAAACAATCGTGTGGTAAAGAGATTAAAACATGTGAGGTTATCAAATTATATTTTGCCAAGGCACTTGCAATTCCTGTTTTATGTACAGATTGTGAAAAATTGCAGACTTTTTATTCCTTTTTTTGATAATTTTTCATTCCCTTTTGATAATTTTTCATTTTTGTATATATTCAATCACATCACACATGGCTGATTATCACAATTTTATGCTTTTTTAATTCTTTTTTTCCTTTTCAAAATCCATAACTACTAACTAGCCTTTCTTTCTTTCCAGTGTTTGGATTTGTGTAATCTATTTCTACATTTGTTGTCTCACAAAAATGCTTGAACACTAGTTTACACGCTGCTCGGTGGCTGCCGGGCTCCCGATCAATTGGGAAAAAAAAAAAGAATTTCCATGATAAAATTTGGAGTGGACTTTAAAAGACTATTATTATTATTATT